TTTGGAGAAGATGGATGTAGATCCGCTGCCATCACTGCAGCCAGTTGCGCCTGCTGTGCCGCCAGTGATTGTCCACGAGGATTCGCCTGAAATCGCGGAACCAACAATTCACGACCAACAGCAGCCGCATTCTGAAGAGTTGTAATTGCCCTCCTGGTCGTAAGAACTGTGCGGTATTGTTTTTGCCACTTTTTGCATATTTTGTTCCTTTATTTAGTATTACGCTGGCTGCTGTTATTCGTACACTAACAAATGATCTTCAGTACTGTGAATCATGAGCAAATTCGTGCTTTATTTTTATTTTTCGATTTTATATGTCAAGTCAATGAACTGGTCGTCGTGTGTATTGTGTCGGTGTGTAAGCGCCAGTGCCGAATCTTCCGTTGTGCCTAGATCTGATCTGATCTCCTGATTAAGTTGAATTAAAGGATATAGCGCGAAGCGCTGATTGGTCGTTTCTTTTACCTGTGGAACTTACCGCATTTTAAACTTTCACTCTGGCAGATCGGTATAAAATCACTTGCGTGTAGCGTGCAGAAATCGGCATTGTGGATTCTTCGTTTCGGCGCAGTAGCGTGTTAGATTTTCTGCTTTTTCTGTGTATGATTTTGACGTTGTTCGCTTTTTATTTCCGTGTTAAAGGTCATTAGTTCTCTTTAGTTTGGGCATGCCGCCTATTGATCCTAACCGTGCTTTTGACAAGTTGGTAGACGCCATTTTTCATTCGTCTTCCAACCAGCAGCAGAATAATGCCGGTTATAATTACCGAGGAAGGGGTGGAGGCCGTGGCTCTTTCCGTGGCAACTTTCGTCCGTATGGCCGAGGAAATCATCGGAATTCTGGAGACAATAATCTCCGTCGCGGAAACGATCCCTGGCGTCGTAATGGCCGACATTTGGGCGCACCGGAGGTTGTTGAAATACCTGATGGAGATCCTCACCCAGTTGCTCCATTGGCAGCTGCCGCCCCAGACATGGAGGTTGACCCCCCGGGAAACCAAGCGCCGCATGCGCAGGATCCGATCCAAGGCAATGGAGCTGTGGTTGCAGGTCAGCCCCATGGTGTCGACCCTGCTGTCAATCTACATGGCCCGCCAGCCTTGAATGTTGTTCCTCCGGTTGTTATTCCGCCAGTGCAGCTGCAGCAGAATGCTGAATTTCCGGGTTTGCCGCCTAATGTTTTGCCGCTACCCGATGTGCCGATTGTCCGCGATGCCCGCGACCGTTCTCCAGCTGATCGTCCTCGTGCGCCTTCTGCTCCTTCTGGCCCCGTTGGTTCAGCTGAGCATAATTTTGTGCCTGGTTATTTGGCCCAGCAACAGCAGCGTGAGTTGGATGCGGATCATCGCCGACAGATGGCTGCTGATGTTTCTCGCCGTTTAGATGCCGCTGCAGCAGCATCTGGATCTGGCATGACTGGTCTGTTTTCATTGGCTCCTAATGCTGGCAAGTAACCTTGTATAACCTGTTGATGCCTTGTTGTTATTTTTCCTTTGATCTCACCTGAGTTGCCGTTTATCGTGTTACATGGTGTATTTCTTTTAATGCACTGCTGGCACTACAGCCTTATTGCTTGTACTGATATTTGTTTTACAGCGTGTTAAGCTATAGTTTTGTGCTAGTGCTGACATTCTGCTTGTTTGTTATTGTTGATTGTTGTTACTGGATGATGTAGTACTCGAGAATTCGTAAGAATACTACTGGTTGGTTGGTTTGGTGCTCGTTTAATGCATAGTTCTACAGAATCGCACATAATTACATTTTAAGATTTTAGATTTTACAATCAATAAAAGCTTTCTGCCGTATTCTGTACATACAAAAAACCACCATCTAAACTCAAACGGCACAGTACAAGTAATTTGTAGTTCGCCCTCCTGGATCCTTGGACCTCCGCCCTGCCAAACCCGTGGACTTCCGGATGCCATCTCGCCAAGGATTCCACATACTAACTCACTCGGAATCGCGGCGTACAGTCACATTGGGCATCGGATGGACACGTGGATTGTGCGGTGGATCGGGATCAGGATGGATGGAAGTGCACAATCGCACTGGGATGTTGCGGGATGGATTGTTTATATTGGCACGGCCAAGCATCGTTCGTGGGGGTGACGTGTGGGAGTAGGATCACACGCCGGGATGTACGTACGGATGCTGACTGTCCGCCTTCCACCTGCAACATAACAGATAATCTAGTCAATCTCTACTGTGATTTGCTGTTCTCTTTACTAGCGGTGTATATGATGTCATAACGCGAAGTCTATATAAGTTCAGGTTGTCACTAATATCGGCAGCAGTCACTGATCAGTAGTCTGGAACTTGACTTCTGAGACTGTTTTCTAATTACGATTTCCTTGCGTTGTGAACTGTGGTGTGAATTGGATAAAGAGGCAGCAATACTTGTTCCTACGGAAGTGCATAGTCGTTCTCGGATTATCGCTTAGTATACAGGTTTGCTCGTGACACAATCGTCCTAGCTCTTGCCGATCCTCACAGGACTTACGACCGGAAGTTGTGATTGGAGTGTTCCTGCTTAGGGATTCCTGAGTTCTCGCGTTCCTGAGTCGTTGTGTTTCCACCATAAGGATCTGTTACAGTTTGAGATGAGAGTTGCCTACCGATTGAGCATTACAGGCGTGGAAGAGTAAAGATTGTTCATGGAACCCTAACCGGTGTGAACGCTTATACACGACAGAACGAAGCAGATGAAAGATGTTATACCTAATCCACTGCCAGCGGCAATTAAGAAGCCTCGGAGAACCCAGTGTGCAATGGAACCTGTTCGGGATGCCGGTTCAGCCAAGCCGAGCAAAGACAATAAAGTGTAGAACAGTAGCCGCTGATCGGCTTTCCATTCGTTGAAGCGAAGTGCCTTTGGTAGCCTCCCACTCATTGTAAGACTGCGGAGAATCTTCTTGTCTGGTTCGCGGAATTAACAAATGCAAAAAACACAAAAATTTTACGGAAGCTGAGTCTAATATATTAAACCAGAAGTAACTCGGAATAGGCGGTGAATTTGTGACCTTGTTAAATTGGTCATGCGCCTACAGAGCACTGATAAAGCAAACAGTTAAGCTAATGACATTGTTTCACAATTTTGCCGCTCCTTCATACGAGTAGTTTTAAATTCTCTCGGGTGTATTGTGTATTTTGATTTCAAATGTGGTGACACCGTTGGACGGCAACGCTCATCCATGTGCGCCAGTGCAAATTAATACATAATGCTAAAACATGGTTATACGAGCATGTTGTGCGATAGCGGTAACAGTTTTGACAGTTGTGCAGAAATCATGACACCGGTATCGGATAAAATAATTATTACTAATTAAACTTATTCGTTCACACATCCGTTACCGCACGTTGTATCTCACCGAAGCGGCAGTGGAAACAGCGCAAAACCACTAAGAAAGCAAGTACCGAGCGCCATCATCATTCTTAATTGTACAGATCAGCTAAATTACCTTTGTTAGGAATTCAGACTCGACCCATTAACCGGCCTAACCAACATCCATTAAGTATCCGCTGATGGACTTGGTGTTCAGCTCAACGTTCGACTTAGAACAAGCGACGATAACATAGGCCATCCATGATTCAGCGCGGTATATCTATAAAGCCTGCGTGCTTTTGCACCTTGACGTTCCAAACGCAAAAGACGGGATACTGTCGATTTGTCGATTTGCGAATGCTTTTGTCATGACCGGCTTCCATAAAGAAATGTGTCGTAATATTATAGTCATCATACTTCGTGACCGGAAATTTCGGTATCTGCCTTTTGACCATTTGCGTCCAAAGATGGCTATCGTATTCACAACAACAGGAAATTAAAACAGGTCAACAAAGGAAGAAAATTTGAAACTGTCGTCACAGAATGTTTGATATACCCCATATGAACAAGCCTTTATTTTCTCAACAACTATAAAAGCGGCGGTATTGAGCAATAGGTCTACATATATTGATTTCAAATCTGTAAGACTGGACCAAGAGACTGTCATCCGCATTTGCCGCTTTACATTACCATGGCCAATTGGTATGCTATCAGTTTCTTTGCCTTTGTTATGTTAGCTGCCAGCCAATGCCGTTGTACAGTACATGTTGTGTACAGTTAAAAGCATGAGAAAATTTCTGTTATCGAACTGTTATTTACGGTAGGTGATAGCAAGGGAGGTCAACGCTGCAAACACAGCGCTAAAGCGCTTCCATGTCAAGCGAGCCAAGCGTGACACGGAGGCCGACCGTGTGTCGTCCTGTCGAGAGCACATCACTTCCGCCTACACTGTATGGATTCTCTGTAAAGCAGCACACGATCGGGACGGTGTCAAGAGTTCGGCATGCTCGGGCACCCATACGCTTATGGACAGAACCTTCGAGCTGTGCTTGCGCTACACTTCTGGAAAAGACCGCAGTGATCTCCTGGATATTTACGCCAAATATTATTCGCATCCATATACCAGCTGACCCGATGAGGATTACGTCGCGCCATATTCTAACTGCTTACTACGACAGTTAGTGAAGACATTTTTTGGTTAAATTGATTCGAAACTGAACTGAACTCAGTAAAATGTGAAGCGCAGACTAAATAAAATGTAAAGACTTATGTGGAATAGAGGATGACACTTATTAGCAAACGGCACACGGTATTTCTTTCATGTCATGTACTTTACCAGGTACATTATGCAAAATTTTGTACTGTACTGCTGTTTTGACACAAGTCGCTATAATACCGCTAGTGCTAATAGACAATAAATATGTTGCTCTGCACCAACATGCATTTGAGAACCGCATAGGAATGTCTGAAGGTTAAACCAGCACATCGTTTTGGCCTTCATAGTCTAAATCTCATGACCGTGTACATTTATTGCTCGTATATGTATATTATAGTAAGCGATGAATATTAAAATAGATAATAGCAGTGCTTGAACTTGAAGTAAAGTACTACTCGAGCAGTATTTATTGAAATACCGCCATCCTGACAGCCGGTCAAGCCATGTATCTGTAGCCGACTACTCAGAGAAGGTAAGATTTTAATTACGCGGCAAAGTTATATTTACTGCGCTGACAGTTAACATGACGTTACTTAAGTCGAAGAAACAAAACACATTTCAGAATTGGTAGCTTTAGCCTTTGATTAATTAATCGCAGTGAAGACTGGTAGCGGCAGTATCACGGGCCTTCTCGGTGATCTGGTTGCCGTTGGAGTCCACACACCAGGCACCCTTGGAGTCGTGCTGCTTAGGCTCCCACTTGCCATCCGCTTTGCACGACGGCAGCCATCGATCAGAACCTGCAATGACACTCTTCGAAACGGAACTCGGCCATCTGGTTAGTAACGTTATGATACAGTAGCATAAACAAACTGATCTGCACATTTAACAGCTTCCCGTACCAAATGCCGGTGACTATGATTACGTGAACGCTATACCTGTGGATACTTTAAAAAGGTCATCATTACAGATTATGATTCTGGCTTGCCTGAATGAGCTTGGGCTTTTTCAAGGGCTTCTTGGCAACTGCATGGCCCGGGAACTGGTCGAACGTTGCGGTAACCCGATGTACTGCGGCCTTTCAATAAAATCGGCACAAACTCCATGCACTGTCCAGCATAGATCGTGCCTTCGCTAGACACCACAAACAAGGCTACCGCCAGAGACAACAACGCCAATTTCACGAGTTTGGCCATGTTTATTGCGTGGGAATACTTTCTGGGTTTCGAGCAGCAACCGGAACTAAACGGTCCTGGACCAACGTTTTCTGCCGCCTGACAAACTGGAAACGGTATATACTGTGTCAACTGTGGTTGCCTGTCAGCGGAATCGCACCTTGAAGTTGGTATTTGGTACTCAATTGGTAGCACAAGCACAAAAGTAGTATATCGCGCGAGAAAATCAGCCAGATCTAGAGATTACACAGTCATGAAAGTACTGTTCAGACAGCTTTTTATCGACGCCGTTCTAGAAAAGTAGTTTGCTGTACATCATCAGGTTTCTTACATGGATTTCTTCTTAACTGCATGAGCGTTTGCTGTAAACTGATGCTGATTTTTTCCATGCTACAAAGTACATACATACCGGGTGGCTGAACAAAATGGCCGTCTCCTGTTTCCGTTTGTTTTTCGCAGACCCTTTGTCGCACCGTAAACGTCTTAGACCCATTCGATAGAGAATTTTATTAGCCACAAAACCTAAAACAAAGTTTTTGAAAAAATTAAGCCGTCTTCGTTTGCAATGATGCCAAATGAAACTGTCTGCAAATCTTTCGTGTCCCAGCTCGCAAAACATAAAATCTCGTGCCATTTCTTCCTCTGACGGACTTTTTGAATATTGTTAACTGTTTCATTTAGCAAAGTACGTTTTCTCTAAAAGAAAAAAAAGTTGTGGTCATGCTGCATACGCTGAACGAGTTATGCAGTCATGAGACATTGTAATCTTTTCGAAAAATGCCGGTTTTTTATTTGGTATTTTCGAGTATTTTCGGTTACAGTTTTTGGCTGCATGACAGGTTGCATAAAAAAATGCAGATTTACCTTTAACATGTAGCTGACACATTGCCCTTTCAGAAACAAAATTGAATCTGGTAAGCTTTTAGAACGTTGGTTAGAAATTTTCTCTCAAAAACTTTGTTTGCCGGTTTCACGAGAATTACTCGTGCAAAGTCTCTGTTCTTCAGCGCGCTGGCCAAGCACGGTTGCTAGAATACTGCAGTTCCTTACAGTAAAAAAACGAGAAACAACCTCTCTACCAGAAACAGTAAAATAATCTACATTAATGTCGTTAGTTGAATAGCAAGAATTTTAAATTTAGAAACGGGTAATTTCAGATTTTCGCTTCCAGGACATCATCCAAACCCAACCAGTTTTACAAAACAATTCATAAAAAATTTCAGCCTTATGGAAATTTTGACTTAACTTAACTTTTTTATGTTAAAAGCATTGCTCTATCGAATGAAACTAGGATATCGTCAATTCAGTGTTGGACGGATCCAGCGCACCATGACAAAACAGACGGCCATTTTGTTCGGCCACCCGGTAGGTACATAATGCAACTGATGGTATCGGTACCGATAACGCGAAAGCTTTATCAAAGCTGTAAACGGAAATCAGGCACCAGTTGTGTTTAGTTAATTAATGGTTTAGTTATAACGGTCGGTAAACAAAGTAATCAAAGTTATTTTTAAGCCTTTGTGAGCGATATGTATGTTTGCGATATGTATGTATGCCTTTGTGAGCGATATGTATGCGATATGTATGTGCGATAAGCCTTTGTGAGCGATATGTTGAATGGGTTTTCTTGATGTTGGGTGGGATTAACAAAAAAAACAGAATAAATACTAAACCGATGCACTGTTTTAAATAAAATGGCATGTACTTTTCTGTATCGACTAAAAAATTTAAAAATACTGAATCTTTAGACGACGTGCGAGTAACCAACAATTACCGTTAGAGCAATCAACATTTCAACCAGGGCGTTTGCTTTCTCCCAGCTATGCCCAAAACAGCTTTAACACGCTGAGGAGCCCGAGCTGTATGTCTCTGCTAGGAAAACGTGCATAAGATTAAAAGTACACCTTGTTAAAATTTATTACGCTTCTTTCCGTTATTAACCCTGCGAAATTATGAATGACACAACTGTATCGTGTTAAACTTGTTTAACCACATCGCCGCCTGCTCGTGCGCATTTACTAATTAATTCCTCGTAAGCACTTCTCATGCCGGGAATACGAGGTACTGCTTAGTAAGCAGTACCTCGTATTCCCGGCATGAGACACCGGCTAAAAATACATGCACTTTGATCGCAGGCGTCACACGTCAAAAGTGAATAATTGTCGTAAAGTCATTGTCCCTGTAGCTAAAATCGCGGGTAATTACGAAGTTGCCAAATTCATTGCTTGTCAGCCTGGTAGAGCTGTAATGTGCCTCGAAAGTCATTTTTATGCATCGATCCTGCGGCAGTTTAAGGTGGATTTCAGTTTAATTTTTAAACGATGCATATGACGTCTCCTATGCAGTGATATAAGAGTCAAGAAAGACAGCGGCGAGAATGGATTCTCTGTTCCAGTCGTTTGCCGGGAAGGTTAATATTAAGCGCGTTTGCAACTCCCGCCATGTTTGCCATAAGGCTTGTTTTGCTACTGTCACTGACGACAGTGTCCTTTGTGACCAGCGAGCAGGACCTCCCCGATGGTACTGTAATCATATCTGGAAAGGCAAATGTTTTTCCAGTGCCTCTTACGTTTTTACTGGCCCCTTTGTAGACTGGAAGTCGTACATCGACCCGGAAGTTCTGGAAACGACGCTGCAGAAAGGAGAGCAATGGAATGGCAAGAGTAACCTTCTGGAAGGGGATATTGCCGGGTTGGACAAAGCTACTGTTAAGCAGGTATGTCTAAAAATTTGCCCGCTTTCGGCTTTCAATTAGTACAGAGCTGAGAGCTGCAGTGTGGATAATTTGTTTGTAGGCCGAGAACATGTCGCAAGATCTCACCACGGACAGCGATGCTTTGTGGCCCAATGGGCGTGTCGCCTTCGTTATCAGTGGACAATTCGGTACAGCTATCTTTTACATTTGAGTGTTACGAAAATATCATTCCCAACGAATATTTAGTAAAGAAATCACAAAGTTAAATCAAAACATATAATTTAATTTTTATATAAGCAATAAAGGTAAAGTTTAAGGAAAGAAATAAAATTTAAAATAAAACTGGTTCGACATAGTCGTAAATGATTGGCATTGTTGACAGATCGCAACCAGCAACGGATGATCATCCACGCCATGCTCAACCTGACAAAAGAAACCGGCGGAAAATGCATACAATTTTCCCGGCGCCGGAACGAAGACAACTATATTCATTTTCAGCCGGGCAGTCAGTACGTACATTGCATATTACCGCAACGTAAGGGAACATGGGATGCATGTCAGCTGATTGATTCGCAGATGCCAGTCGTTAATTGGTCGCCGATGGAACTCACCACAGAAAATCGAGCTAGCTCCTGGCTGTGTGACCGAAATGGGCACCATACAGCACGAGATTATGCATGCGCTGGGATTCTTCCATGAAATGTCCAGGAACGATCGCGATCAGTATATCAACATTATATGGAGCAATATCGAACCCGGTAAGCTTCGTAAAGCGATATAATTATGTATTATGATGCTATTGTTGTGTGAGTTCAGAAAATTAATGGTATCATGACTAATCTGTATTAAAATCACGATACACGATATTAGCCATTTTTTAAGAAATAACTTTTCTCTGTAAAAAGTGTATTCAGAATTGATGGCTGCATTACCCTACCAATACCCTTATGAAAATGCTGCTTATATAGATAACCGAGACCAGTTCGCAAAATACCGCGGAGATGAACAAGGTTTGCCGTACGACTACGAGAGTGTCATGCATTATCCCTTCAACGCCTTCGCCCTCAACACCAACAGAGCCAGCATTCTGCCGAAAAAGCGAGGAGCACGCATCGGGCAGAGAAAGCGACTGTCGCGATTAGACGTCGTCCGTATTCGTAAAGCCTACTCCTGTGGAGACTCCTCAGGCAACCGCGACGAAAACACGCTGACAGTAGACGAATCCGAGTCAACAGAAAAGGTAGCGGTTACATCGCAGCCGGAACGAGTGAACCCAGGGACGACATCCACCGAGGAGGAAACGGATAATCGCGCCACGGGAAACAATGACGGAATGGGATTCCTTTTGCGCCTACTCGGCGGCTCAGGCTTCTCTAATGGATTTCCCGGACCGGGCGGTCGCCTTTCGTATATTGCTGGCGGAAGACGGTCGTCTGGCGGGGGACCGTTGTTTCCTGGCGGAGGACCATCGTTTGGTGGGGGATCGTCGTTTGGCGGGGTACCGTCGTTCGGTGGTGGCGGCTTCGGTTCTGGATGGTGGCCCGGCCGGCGTTAGTGATGACGCCGGGTGGTTTGAAGTTTAAACCACTGCTTATTATGCATCTATATAATGTTAAATTTAGATTTTACTTCGATTATCTCATCTTGAGTCGTGATTGAAAACTTTAGAATCTCGAGGTGAACTGCCTCTGCATCCATTTTTTGCCGGTTATCTCGCTCCTGGAGCTTTGTTTGTGCTCCATAATATAACCCCGTTAGTTAAATTTAAACATACGGACAAACTGAAAATAAAAACGCACAATAAACACCCGAACGGTTTCCCTGGTACATGTATACATTAACTGACACCTGATTGAATTACAGTACGTACCATATGGCTACTGCATAGTACTTAACTATCCGGTCTATCCCACGAAAAACTCAGTTCGCTTTAGGCACTTTTGTTCATCTCCCTCTGACTCACCCATTTTCAACTGGCGAATGCCTTTCACTTTCGAGACAATGTGGCGGCAGTTTAAGCCTCAGGCGTTTCCGGACCAGCCTTGTATTAATTTGTCAAATAATTACTGCACGTAATCTATTTGCATTAGCACACTTTTCAACTGTTAGTACATGTACATAAATTGATGGTGTCATATTATCATAACTTGACCAAGTTTCTACGCCATTACCGACTGAAATCCCGGCACCGAATTTTAAAAAAAGTGTAGGTCGTCTCAGCAGCCGAATAATATAATTTGATATTGTTGTATTGTTGTATTGTTTCGTGTCTTTTGGCTTGCTTTCCGTGAATGCCAGATCAAAGAGCAAACGTAAAAGCCCTCGAGTTTTAGCTGGATCATGCGCGATTTAATATTTTACCAACGCAGCATGCAAGAAAACGCGGATGCCGGCTATACTGTAAACCCAACCGCAAAGCAGGCAAGCTCTGCCGACGGCATATAAATGTGCAAAATAATGAATGTGAAAATTCTGCTGTTCATTAAGCAGTTTGGCGCTGCGGGAAGGTTTGCACGTGGTACAGCTTAGGACAAAATGGTCGCATACCCAACATCTCCACATTCAGTACGAATGCAGCGCAGTGCACTGTACGACTGAGTTCAAAATATCCGTTTCGTACAAGTGCACTGCACCGCTTGCGTACAGAATGCTGGATATGGGGCTATGCGACCATTTAGTCCTACATTGTATGTGTTGAATTAAAACGGCACGTGCTTAATAAACTACCTTTTCTAAAAACCGGGCCATTATAAGGAGAACAAAAGTTTATACGACAATCAGACACTAATTAACTGGCAAGTTACGCACTCAAAAAAAATTCCCTTGGGCAATGCACACCGGCTGACGATAATTCCTTCTCAGCAGCGGCTACTGCACTACGCAGTGACGTTACTCAACACACCTATCATCACGCTTTCTGTAAGAATCATCACAAAAAACTTAAATTCTTGATCACCGTTTTTACAGCCGTAATCTGAGCCACAGTACTAAAATTTCCGGAAAAAGGCTACTGTATCAGCTGTTATGGAGAAAGTTCTGGTTTATGTGAATTTGATCTTCCTGTCTCGTTTCCTGGTCGCCGCACAGGTTTTACCGGACGGTACGTGTTCTAAATATGCTTTCCTGATTGGCGAAAAACTTAAAAGCGCCTACTCAAAATATACGGTGCGGTGTAGCATTTTACAAGCCTATATTCTGAATCTATAACAGATTGGCAGAAATTCATCGACCCTGAAGTGCTGAAGGAGGACAATGCTGAACTGACGTCCGGAAATGATCTGTTCGAAGGGGACATTTCCGGGTTAGACCGCATTACCATGGCCAGCGTAAGTTGTGCTGTCAGCACTATTTTCGCAGGATTCGCGGTTTCCTCTAGAGTAGATTAAAGTTGCTGGCGCCAAATTCGCCAGTACATATTTGAACCGTATCAATGGCGTATTAAATACTGACCAATGCCCATGTTTGTGTTCAACTGAAAATAGTGCTTATTTACAGAATCGCGAACAGGCGCAGGATATGGTGGCAAATATTACCTTTCTATGGCCAGATGGTCGTGTGCCGTACGTCATCAGCGACAAATTTGGTACGGAATCAGCATCTCTCTCTCTGGTTACAAAGGGATAATCGTTTCTTTGCAGAAATGAACGAGGAGCTACTAATTATAGGTGCCATGCAGAACATCTCAGCGGCCACTGGCGACAAATGTATCACATTTACCAAGCGCACCGACGCCGGCAAAGATGCTCCCTATATTCGTTTTGTTCGCGGCATGCGGTACGAAGAAGCAAAAATTCCTAATCTGTGCTTATCTGTGCTTAATCTGACCATCGTTTTATTTTGGTCAGGACTCCGCGCTATTTTCAAAGCTTTTATATTTGATTTGCAGTTGTCAATCATATGTTGGACGCCAAGGCCCCGATCAGTTGGTGGAGTTGACCACATCCTGCTTAAAAGGTATTGGTGGGATCCAGCACGAAATTATGCACGCCCTGGGATTCTATCACGAAATGTCCAGAGACGATCGCGATAACTTTGTAACGATTATGTGGAATAATATCAAAGATGGTACGTTCTCAACAGATTCTTTTCCGTCGTGAAAGCTGTTATTGGCCTTTAACAGCACTTGATTTCAGCTGATAAAAACCAGTTTCTGCAATATCGTGGCGACAAACAAGGACTACCCTACGACTACGCCTCCCTCATGCACTATCCCTATAATGCTTTTGCCATCGACACCAAGAAACCCAGCGTTCTGCCAAAAAAATTAGGCGCCTCCATCGGCCAGCGGAATGGTTTATCCGAACTGGATGTGCAACGCATCCGCAAGGCATACTGTATCACCGCACGCGAGTTTATAAAGGAAACGCCTAAAGTGTCGGTCCAGGAAATGATGAGTACCGTCACCGTCGGCTCAACATCAACGACTACGCCATTTGTGTTCCGCAGAGACTTTAGCTTGCCGGATGTTGTTGCTATCTTGGGCGACTCCAGGCGAGAGCTGAATACCGTTCTGAAATACGAAATCAGGCCGATATGGAAAAAAATCCTAGGTACTTCCAGCGACTGTTTTTGCCCGAAAAGGCGCTAACTGTCACATCACTATCCGTACAAGTTTTCCCGTTTTTTCATCATTTATTTTTATAATCTAGGACAAAATTTTCGAAACGCTTACAACTGGGTACTCAAAGGCCAAAGCCCTATCGAAAAGCGCAGCTGCGCTTAACTTTGAATACAAGTATATCATTGAATGCATCTCCAGATACTTTTGATCTTTCAACACCTTGAAAAGCATGCTAGTAAATTTGGAAAAATTTAGGCTTTCGAAGGCGCAGGATATCTCTCATCTGACTACCATGAATTTTCAAAAATTTTGAATAGCTTGTTTTCCTGGCTGGAGCTAATGCAAAGCACAGCAGAGTCTGTTTGTATACCGAAATGATGAATGTGGCATACCTTTGTGCTACTTTTAAGAATCTGATGTGTGAGGTCTATAAGCATTTTGAGATTTTGACGATCCTTGTGTAGTGAATCATATGGATTTTGGCGCATTTATTTGATACTTTTGTAACGAAATTCGTTATTTAGGCAGCAACGTTGCGGACGATTTCACACTGTCGATGAAAAGCGACATAGCTTTTGACCCTTCCGCGGCTCCTGACGGCACCAGCATCCACCAGATAGTTTACACCGTCGACGGCACCGCCACTGCAGACGTCGACCTGGCCGTCGTTGCCCAGCAGTTCCACACCTTGGCCTTAAAAGCCGACATCCCTCATCTGTGGGCTGTCCCGAATCCTGACGGCAGTTGGCATACGACCGACATGGTCCGAAACCAGATCGCCGCAGCGGCTGCGAAATCGCGGTCTACCTCCAAACCTTCAACCACATCCACCGCAGCAACAACCGAAGAACCGCAAACAATAACTGACGATCAGTCCGAACCGGAAGAAGTTACAACGCCAGCGCCTCAGACCCAACGTCGTACTTTTACCCGGATATCGAATAGGCGTCGCGGCGGATCTCGCATCATCACGATGACAGGACCCAACACCGTGTTTAACGGCAACAACAACTTCGGCATTGCCGGTGGTTTAACAGATGATGAGTTACGAATGCTTCCGCCTTCCGTACAGAATGTGGTCCGGCAAAGTCTTAGTAACGCACAAACGCTCATTGGTCCAATGGATCGTTCAGTTTCAAGTATGAGCGGATTCGGTGGAATTCCACCCAGTTTCAGTGGAATGCCAGGCGCTGGATCGTTTGGTACGACATTTGGAACTGGTGAGGACGGTGTGCAGAGCGGAGTAAGTCCCGATGGTAATACGAGGTACTACCGTCGTGATGGAGTGGACCCTTCTACGGGCGCAAGGACATCCTATTCCTCATTTGAAACACACCAGAGTTTTCAATCAGGGAATATGGGAGGCAGGGGGATGTTTAGCCCCTTTAGATAATAGTGCACGTACAGTCTTCCATTGCCAGTACCGGTGCGGAGTGTGCACTCTGCAAAGATATACCAGACAGACTTTGACAGTTTTCCAAGCTGTATAATTTGGTGATTGATCTTACTTGTTTTGTAATTAATAATTACTGTCTTTCATGTTAGGTGTCGAGAAATTTGATTTTACGTGGCCTCGTTTTGACTGTATTTAACCAAAAGAGAACTGACTTATCGCGTGTTTTCCGTTCCGGAATAGGTGATACACAGAAGAAAAATCTTTTCTCCAGAAATATAAATCGGTCAACATTCCGTACAGTGGAAGTTAAATAATGCAGCAAAGCAATACAAAAGCTTGAATAAGCTTTAAATTAATGTAAATACGGTTATTATTTATGCGCAGCCTGTTCTCAGGCGTGTAGGAGAGGAACCGGTCCCAGAAAATACTCAGCAACGTTATCTACCATATGCATCTTTTTGCAAAATAATTTTAGGTTTGCACTACAAACTGCGTCGTGCACGAACCCGCTTTTTTAACGACACTGCCGTACGTGGTTTGTTACAGCAAAACTGATTGAAAGTGATATGTTTTAAAAAGCGCAAATGCGTCGAAATGGCCACATTCCCAGTTCGAAAATATGCTATTACCACAATATGCGTGTTGTTAGCGCCAACTGTTTCCCAAGAAATACCCTGGGGTACATGGTTACATTTTGGCTTGACGTTCAGCAGTACAATAGATTGTTCAACAGTGTCTCTTTGTAGACTGGAAAAAATAAATTGATCCGGAAGTTTTAAGAACATCTTTACAAAGTAGCACACTCTAATGGTAGATCCAGAATGGATCCACAGACGGAGACAGAAACGGAATCTATCCCGTGGAGTGAGCGACACGATCTGGGTCGCGAGCTATGCGGAAACACAAAACGTCGCACCGTAATCGCTGACTTTTAATAATATTGAAAATTCCGACAACAGAAAATCAACACTGATCGGCGCAGCTCGATCGTAAAGCGTGGAGCCCATTCAACAGCGTGCAACGCTGTGCAGCACGTGCTATGCCGCGCCCACTAACAAAACACAAGCCAATCAGAAGCGAGACACAACACAGGCCATAATCCAAAGGCGTAGCGCCTAGCGCCACTGACGTGAACGCTAGTGATCCCGGTCTCACATGCCTCTGGGGGGATGCCGAGCTCCTGTGAGGCTGGACACACTCCCGAATCCACGAGAAGACGACGGTCGCCGAGTGTCTGTGTGTGCTCAAAAACATCAAATTCTCTTAATCCATTTTATCACATCAATTCCATAAAGGCACAATTCCATTTAATACAATGTGAAATAAAGAGATCCAATTATAAAAATACTATCAAATCGTTAGGAACAGATCAACAGTAACAGATCAACAAAAGTATTAATCAAATTGTAGACTAGGATCCTCCATTTCTGACTCGCAAAGGTCACAGGTCCTGTCCACCGTTTTCCGCACTTTTAATCCATTCCGCTCTGTTGAGCAATTTCGCGCATCCGTAATGCGACTTTCATCACAATCCGCTTTGAGAATCAGGTGCGTATCAAGTACGACTTAGAAATACTGCTTCATCTTTGGAATATGGTGCGTATCAATTGTACGACTTCAAAATGAGATCCAATAAAGGTCATGGAGGGACGTCAATGAAGACAAGCGTAGTTCGCTTCCTCCCTAGTAAAGGTCATCCTTTGTTGAGATGATCCGTTGAGATGTGCGACTCGTTTTGGGTTAATGGTCCCAAAGGTCATGCGACTTAAATTCCGATACGGTGACTCTAGTGGGCAATTGATGATCCCAAAGGTCATCCCACTCGTCAAAACTTCCATTAAAGGTCATGGAGGAACTTAGCCAATTTTCTGCGGCTTTCAAGCACTTCTTCGCTTGCCTCCCTGGTAAAACTTGCAGTTTGACCTTTCCGTCGCACATCCAACTTCAGTATGCCTCGAGCGGCCAGAGTGCCGGCAAGTTTACCGTAACATCTCTGATGGGGCCGGCTAGTTACCGCATTAAGTTTACCCCATGAAATTTCCACATTTAATCTTTTACTCTTGTTCGCCGCTTGTGGCTTACGTTAGTACGAGAAATCCGGCTTGATTACCGTAGTTTTTCTCGTTTTAATTATAACACTGAATCGCTTGAAAAGAGTGCCGGCATAGTTTACCGTAACAACTCTAATGAGGCCGGCTAATTGCCGCATTAAGTTAACCTCATCAATATTCCACCTGTTGTCTTTCTCTTTTTCGCCGCTTGTGGCCCCGTTTCGTATTCAAGAGATCCGGCTTGATTACCGTCGTCTCTCTTGTGCATTTATAACACTGAGTCGCTTAGAGAGGAGGGCCGGCTAACTGCCGTAGCAACTCCCTTGGGGCCGGCTTTATAGACCGAATCAATTTCAACCCCAATAGATATTCCACATGATTTCTTTTAGGCAATTCTGTGCTATAAACGCTGCAAACAACAAATGCACAAATACAGTTAATGTTAACATGTCACGTGTCGCGCCCTTTATACAACACCATTTTAATCTTTGTGACGTACCGACAAATGCCGTAGACGTCCTTTTAATAGTGTGATCCTAACGATCAGCACTATTCCATTTCATTTGAATCGCCCTCGCCATCTCTCGGCGGGCGTTTTTTAGCGCTTTTCGGTTGATTTTGGTCGGAAGTGCGGTCAACTGGTTCCGTCGAGTCAACTTCCATGACCTTTGTCGGGTCAACTTCGCGCTGGCCCCGACCTTTACCTTGGCGACTTCGCTTAACCGCCTCAAGTCGATGGCGTGCGTCGTTTCCTTCGAGTCGCAGTCTTCGGTTATCAGGGTCTTCCGCCAATCGACGCCGCACGTCGGCGAGATTATCCCGCAGCTGTTGGTTTCGGATGCCGCGTCGTCCCATCTGGTTAGGCGCACGGTCTGGACGACGGTCACTTTTCTTCACTAAGAATTCATCAATGTAAGTTTCGATTCCGTCCACCGGTTCGACGTAGTCGCTTCCCAGAGAATCTTTAATCTTATTAATCCTTTCTTCTACTTGGGATGCGTGGCGCTGTGTCAAGTTGCCCTTTTCCATTCGTGTCTTACACTTTTTCAGCGCCTTTCGAGCCGTATGCGCTATGCTGATATGTTCCATCGGTTGTCCCAATTTAGCGACATGAGCTCGGAAGAACGGTGGAATGTCGTCCTTCATGGTATTAGACACCAATTGATTCTGTGTCTTGTAATGTGCCAGTCTCGCAGCAAAGACCTTTTGCCCCATCCTTTTTGCGGCATAGTCCTTAGGATCCACCTGTAGTCCTATCGATGCCCTTGCTGCAAGCAACTTGAAAGCTGGATTCACATGTCGTAAGACAAACTGAGCCACATATTCTTGTCGTTCGGGATAGTCTCTGTAATAGAACTGTGTCATCCCGATTGGGTCAGTTGTATCCAGCGGTACATCCAATAAACTCAAATCCACCAGGCTGTGTAGCCCATTCCGTCGGATAGGGAGATAACAGTCCCGTACTGAATCGCGGTGGATGAATAACTGACGGAAAAGTCCTTGTTCCACTCCTTGTTTAATCTCTCTCGCATAACCCGAGTCAAGTAGGAATTGGCTCAACTGTCTCAGAATTGTGCCAATTTTGTTGGCTTCAACCGAATCCGGCTCAAGTCCAAAGTATCGACAAATTTCGACCGTTTGCTCATCAATATCAGTCGTCTTGTATTCCATGTCGATACTTTCAGGACGTCGGTTGTCAAATCTGGAGTTCTGTCGCTGATCAGCCCGGCGATGATTATCCGGTTCTCGTTGACCTTCTGGTTCACGTTGTTCTCCTGACTCAGGCTGCAACGGTTCGTTACTCGCCGGTTGTTCCAGTTGGAGGTCACTATCCAGAATTACATTTCGTCGATGGGTCACGTTCTCTTGAGACGTTTCCGCAATCGAGCTGGTGCCTTCCATCGCGTCATCTTCTTGTACGGCGCTCACAATTGGATCCACAACGTGAACCACTGACTCCACCCGCTGATATTTTGGAGGTGAATCTTCCCGTTCAGTGCTTGATGACCTTTTGCTTGCGCCCGAGTCAAAGGTCGCATAAAATGCGGCTCTCTGTTGCCATCTTTTATCCTGTGGGTCAGGCGTTCGGTTTCGCGTATGTTCACGTCTCTTATCCCATGACCTTTCGGGTGTTGACATCCTGACGTTGCGATTCCGGAATGCGACTCCCATCGGCACCTGATGCCCTTCCTTTTCAGGTTCTGTACGGAATGTCTCCGCACGCCGTTTCTCTTCACGTCCTCTTGTGGCTGCCAAGATCTTTGCCGTATCGATTTTCCTTTGAATACTCATTTCTGTAACTTCGTCTCCATGGCGCACCCATCCTCGTCCGCCGCGGTAATCTCGATCGCGAGAACGTTCACGTGACCTTTCATTACGGTAGTCACGTGTCCTTTCACGAGAGTGTTCGCGTGACCTTTCTCTCTGTCGTTCAGAAGTCCGTTCATGTTCACGTGAATGTCCGCGTGACCTTTCTCTATGCGGAGGCGATCGAGGTCGGATGAAACCTTCATCCCGTTTGAAGCTTCTGAGTGCTTGCAGTACATCGCTTTCGGTTCGGCGAGATCTACGTAGGTCATCCATACGTCTTTCGACTTCCTTCTTTATGTAAGGTGCCGGCGCGAACCCGTCTTGAAGTCGTTTCTTCTCCCGCAACAGCATTTTGAATACCTCGTCTGACATAGCAGCTGGATCTTTCGTTAACGTTTCAATTTGAATGATAAGCGACTGTCGTACGAGTTGCATTTCATCTTCCTTAAGGCTGGCCATGCCCGTGGGTGCAGCTAAACCCGACGTACTGGGCAACGCCTCTCGTGCGGCCTGTTCACTTGCCCTCTTATTTTCCGCATTAATTTTCGCGCGGAGTTCGTCTTCCATTTGCTGAACTCGCATCTTCTCCTGGTCCTCTGCGAATTTCTTCCGATACGCGTCTGTATGTGGACACTTCAACGGCTCCAAGGTGTCATCCCAACCCGGTTCGTTGTTCCGGATCGCTTCCCGGTAGCGATCCTCGAGTAGCATTCGCTCTTCCACTGGGATGCTGCCGTAATTTCTTGCGCTTATGAGATTTCGAAAAACGTCCAAGTTCCCTCGTTTCGCTTCCATGATCCCAACAAGCGTGACGGCATGTGGGTCTTCCAGCTTGTGAATACAAGTGTAGCAAGGGA